TAAAATGCGCATACATTATTTTTAAATGGTGTAAGATAAATTTGTTTCATTGAATTATTAGTATAAAGCTCTGCTTTAATCTTCTTCCTCAGAAATTAAAGCTTGCGTAGCTAATCCTCCCATTCGCAGTAGTATTCTTAACAAGGGAACATAAATTTCAATTTATTATGATAGCTATTTCGACCTTACATGTGAAAACAATCTCTTATCTCAGATAATACTGCCTTCATTACAACCCTTTGTCAAGAAAGATTTTGTTTTGGGAAATGTCCGAAATTTCTCGACCCAGTATCTGTGTCATGAATCGAGTATTGCTTCAATGGTTCCTGATCAAGCAACCAAGTTTATGCAATATCACAATATTAAGGTCCTTTGTGTATCTAATAGACCGCACTCGCTCATCTGATGTGGAACGACCTTGAATTAAAGTCCAATCTATTCCATATCGTAGTAGTTCTAATCCGACTGCTTAAGTTGTGATTTGTAAAATTTTCAAACATTTTAGAGGATCAGTCAATGAAATTCAGAAAATATTTCCTTGTATATGGAAATTCCGTTACGTGGTTTTTCTTAATCGACTTGAGGTGATAATTTATATCTTGTGTTTCGACAAAAGTGTCACGCATCATAAACTACGACACTTTTTGTCATCTGTCTTTTTATCCCTGATTATTACCCTCCTATCGCTTGTCTTCTAGTAAGTGATTATTGCCCTCCTATCGTTTGTCTTCTAGTAAGTGATTATTGCTCTCCTATCGTTTGTCTTCTAGTAAGTGATTATTGCCCTCCTATCGTTTGTCTTCTAGTAAGTGATTATTGCCCTCCTACCGCTTGTCTTCAAGTTAGTGATTATTGCCCTCCTATCGCTTGTCTTCTAGCTAGTGATTATTGCCCTCCTATCGCTTGTATTCTATAGCTGGTGACTATTGCTCTCCTATCGCTTGTTTTCTAGTTATCTAAAACACCACAAATGCATATCAGACTCTTTACAACTAACCACTTGCTTTCAGAAGATACACTGTAGGGTTCACGATATTATTTCTATTTAGAAACACAAGTCGGTGGTACTGCATATATATTATCTGGTGATCAGAAATGATTTTGTCTTTTTTGGGTATCACTAAACCTTACCAAATATTCAAACTCAATTCATAATTATCAAGAATTTCAAATAATATTTTGTGAACACAAGATATCACAAAAAATGATTTATTCCTTACATAATAGCAGAACAACATATCTCAGTCCCATGTATACAGAGTACAGTTACCGTTAGGTACACTGTTCTTAAAGCTCATCTGGAATTTGAACTGGATTCCAGGTGCGTAGGCGATCCAGGGATGTCTTCCATTGAAGCGGTTTCTTGTAGTATATGTCAAACCATTCGGTTCAGAGTAAACAGTCTTGGTGAACCATGCCTACAGAAAAACACAAAGTTAGTGCACATTGTTATACAATTAAAGAAAATAATACACCAACATAAAATATTATCACCCAAATCAATTGGTTCTGACTTACTGAAAATGCAGATGATTGTTGGTCAAGGTCAACAGTGATGCAGTATTTCTTGAGATCCTTAGCAAATTCAAAATCACAAAAAGCAGTCATGGTTTTTGCGGATCCAGCGCTCCATACCGATTCCTTCTGTATGGCTGATGTCAATCCGGGGCCCTGGGCTTTGGGACAGTTTTCTGGGGGAACAAATGCTGGAATTGTTGGAGGCAGTGGGTTAGGGTCCTTGATGTTGCTATTGCAGACCCCTTTTGGTGGTGCCCCATAGAAGTCAATTATAAATTCTACTGACACATTACGAGGGTGGTACTCATACTTGCTGCGCAAACGGTAGAGTTGACCCTCATTCAAAACTTCAACAGTCTTCATAATCCATGACTGAAAAAAAATTGATGAGCTAATATCTTTGTTACAATGTTAAAAAGAGAACAGGGCGTATGTGGGACGCCCTACCCATGTATACTACAGCCTGAATATTTTGTGATTGAACCTCTGGACTACTTGGTAACCATTGTTTCGATTCATTTTCCAAAGTTTGTTCATGTAATTCTTCGATTTACTGTGATATGAGACTATCAGACCTACCTGAAAACCATGAGTTAGTTTGTCAAAACTGACATTCATCCACCATTTTCCTTGCCTCTGCAATTCTAGAACTTGGAAGTGGCAGATCCCGCGCATGTGCCGCTGAACTTCTCCGGGCTGTCTCCAGACTTCTTTTCGTTCTACGTCTACAGTGTATGCCGAGCACAAAGCAATCAATGCTACAAACGACCCTATGGTCAGAGCACACCCACGACAGTCTCTGCATGAAAGAAATTAACGGAACACATTAAAGAATATAAAATAAGTTGATAAAAGTTTGAAGTTTATTACAAAATAATTTTTAATTGTATATTAAAATTGGCCAAAATAAAAAAAAAATTAAAAAAAGCAAAGTTTTCACATTTCTGAAAAAAAAAAATTATGGTTAGGATTTTTACCTCATGTTTTGCTGCAGATCAAATATGTGATACAACTTTTTGATTATCGATTACTTTTATAGTATACAGAGGTAGATTTAAGGTCCAAATGACGCCAGTCCGTTGACGTCTAATTCTAATGCATTGTTTACACTGGCTGGACTTGTGTCACGGTGGAGTGAACTTTAATTCATGTTATTCTGATCAGACTATAGAATGAAAATAAACGTGGGCTAAGAATTTACTTTAAATTTTAGAAAAATGCTGACTTTGTTGTGCGTGCTCACAATGCTTAAGGTGAAGGTCAAACAGCTGTACATTTTGGTTGCTTTTTATTTAATTTTATTTTGTAAAATACAAGACAATACCTTTGTGTGTGCAAAAGTAGCCACTGCATTGTGTTGTTTTTGGAGGGGTATGGGGATTTTAACGTATTTTAGCAGTAAATATGATACATTGTGTGAACTGTTCAATAAAAAGAAAGACCAAAATCAATCAATCAAACAAAAAAGAACAAAGCAAAAAAAAAAACAAACAAACAAACAAACAAACAAAAACAACAACAGACATAAGCAAAAACAAATAAAGCAACAAAAAAAAATTGAACAAAAATACACGTACTACTTCCTCGAGTCTAGTTCGAAAGAGCAATAAAACCGAACTGAATTTTTTAAAAGGCTGATACTAGTCTGCAGATGTTTAAGATGCAATGTAAAAGCCAAAATTGGATGATTTTTAAGTGCAAGAAATAGAATTATTATCGTTATTATTATTTCGCCGTATTGAAGACCTTATTTTCCATAACCCTCCATTTCCATTTTCTGTACATACTCTTGTTGTCTGTATAAACGTTTCCAGGACCACAATGTAAACTAGTTTTGTAAACTAATTGTGCTATCCTGTATAAATAAAGGACATTATTATTATTATTATTATAACCAATTCATTACAGCAAAGAAAGACGTTATTATAATAAAGAGTATTTTGAACATAAGACATAATTAACTCGTAGGGTTAATGATTATGATATTTCACTATTGGTGATATAATATTTACATTAAATAAAGCTTAGGGAAGAAGTCAGCCATAAAACAAATGAATAATCCATAAATCTATGAGTCAATAAACATTTATACTCGCCCATTAGTCATACAAGGATTTTAAAGAATTTTTTTTTTTTAAATGGTATATTTTTAATTCTGAATTTGGTACATAGTGATTTATTGTACATGAATTTCTACTAATGATAAAATTAGTAAATTTTTCGTCCTGTTCAATAATTTCATATATTTGCACCTTGTTTATTTTCAACAGGCTAACATATTATTACGGAAAGACGTTTTTTGCTTGTTTTTGTTTCTTTTACGGGTATAATTCCTCTTTCGTCAAACACTTAAAAAAAATTTACAATCTCTATGCAAAATAAAACATGAATCTTGGAATTTGTCAAAAACATTTTTAGTCGCCGTTGTATACTCGTATACTAACTGACCATACCCCTGAATAATGTTAACGCATGATCTGTATTGAAATTTTTTATCCAAACAAAAATAAAAGGCTGGACTGGAGATTTAAATCTCGTGAAGCTACGTCATAACCTTATTTTGCTGACCCAAAGAAAACTTCCCTGGGATATAAATAGAGGTTCTCTCGGAACTGTCCAACAAAAAGTACGAACAGGTGTTAAGAAGAGGATAGGACAAGCAAAGAGAAACTCTGGGAAAAGACATAATGAAGTGAGTTTTGCTTAATAATTAGTTATATACTACTAAAACGATTTTATAATAACTTTTCAATATCTATTCGTAAAATAATGAATCTTAAAATAAAAAAAACCCCATAAAAATGCTTTTTTTAAAAAAAGGTAGAAATGAGTTGGGTTTTTTTTTTCCAGTTGTTTATTGGCTTGCAACCAATTCTCGGACATTTTTATGATGGAAAATTTTGATATTTTTTATGCACAATTAGTCATATACATATTTTGTATTAAAGATCATATTTTTTTGTAAAGGGCAGTATCCTCTTTCAGTCTTTCTTACATGTCACCACATTTTTGGACACTATTTTTTTTTTAAGTCATGGGTGCAAGACTTCGATGCAAGTTTTTACATTTGTCATGCCAAATAAGCTTTAAAATGTTTGACAATGATTTTTGCTACGTGACAATAGCAAATTAAGTATTATGGGTTTTTTCCCATAGCACACGTAAAAGATGAAATTAACATGGGAATTAATTAATCATGCATTTGCCCTTTGCGCACGCACAACTTAAACAAGAGATATTATAAAATAATATATATCAAATAAAGTTTTGTCAAACTTCAAGCAAAACTTGGTCGCTAACTTAGTATTATGCACCAGCTGCAAGCAAACAATGCAATGCAATTATTTAAAATGTCCCTATTTCTTTCTATACCCAGGTACAGTTTAGCAATACTACTGGCTTTCTGGGCGGGTGTAAGTGCAATTTATGAGGTACCCGTACAGAAGGGGAATGTCTGGGGAAATAATAGGTCTGCTCGGAAAATGAAAGGATGGTGCCTGTTCGAACTAAACGAATCCAGAGACGCGGGGGACATCAAAATGGACCTCATCTTTAACAAACCCACTAGAAATCTTCAGGTAGGATATATTTTAGGTTCATTTGCAAATTCTAAAGCCTTTTCGACTTTTTTTCAAAAATAAAGCAAAAAGTGTGTTTTCCCCCGACATGTCTGTGATAGAGCCGTTAGCCAGGAGAAAATACTGCTATGCCTACTCTATTTCTTCACTTTTAACCTAGATAAACATTATAAAGGAATGTGTAGCTTAACATTTCAGTAAAATATCTAACCATAAAAATGTAAGAAATGCATTTAATTTATTACAGTTACATGTAGTTATAAAGCTTGAGCTTCATTCCAGAATGATAAATTATTTCAGCTCTTTATCAAATCATTCTGAATGACTGCTATGACAGAAGCAATAATACCTCCTTCAATTTTTCAAATGAATAAAAGAAAATAATATAATTGACGTTGATGTAATCAAGAACACACAATATAAATTATGATTTTTATTTTCTTTAACAGATATGGATAATGAATATCGATAAAACACTGAATAGGGGACGGGCATATGAATTATCTAACAAATATCCATATTCCAATACGATGCTGAAAGTTGAATTCATTTTGACATATAGAGGTGGCAAGAAAAAGTTTCCAAGAGGAAGATGCATTAGTAACATAACGCCACCTTCTACAACAACACAAATGCCCACTACGCATGCGTCAGTGACACCACAAGCAAGTACCACGTCAGTGACCCAACAACCCACCACAACGTCAGAACCACGATTCTCCACCACAACAATACCGGAGTCATTTCCTGACGTCATACCGATATCTGTGGAGGGACAACACTGGAGCGTTGGAAATGGCTATAGAATGACCGGAGTCTGTATATTCCAGATTAAGCCAGTCCTTAACTCCTATAACATCATGGTGGAATTTGATAAAGAAACTTATGACATGACGGTAACTAGAAAACTAAACTATCACGATTTCTATCATACACTTTGTAGAATCTAGAAATCAGATTTTGATAAAGTAGATTCATAACTTAAGGAAAAACGTTTGTTGTAGGAGTGGACAATGGATATCGAAGATCAACAGTTAAATGGGCTATGGTATTACTTGAAAAGCAGATGGCCTGAGAGGCAAAACGAAATCAGATTGCGGTTTCAAGTTGACTTTGATTCTCTTCCTGTGCCATCTGGAACATGTACAATTGATAGAAATGGTCAAACTCTGACACCCAAACCTTCAACTGCAATGCCAACACCAACCACCAAAGCACCAACACAGCAACCTTCAACTGCAGCGCCAACACAGAAACCTTCAACCGCAGCGCCAACACAACAACCTTCAACCGCTGCGCCAACACAACAACCTTCAACCGCAGCGCCAACACAGCAACCTTCAACTGCAGCACCAACACAGCAACCTTCAACTGCTGCGCCAACACAACAACCTTCAACCACTGCGCCAACACAACAACCATCTACTACTCAAGCACCTACAGGTGCCCCGGTAAATACAGCACATGACTATGGCTTCATTCTCCATGAATCTATTTTATTCTACGAAGCCCAGCAGGCTGGTTATCTGACAAATAACAGGGTTTCTTGGAGGAAAAATGCTACCACGTTAGACAGAGGTATTTACGGAGAGGACTTAACCGGGGGATGGTATGATGGTAAGAAAAGGCTAATTATTAGTATAATATTTTCACGTATTTATCTTTGATTTTTTTAATCTGATCTAAGTCAATAAAAAGTTATTCGGTAAAACGTCCCTGTTCTGTCTCTCTAGTCTCTACATAAACTTCTTTTCAAATCGCTCTACATATTTTACAAATACATGTACAATCTATCATTTTTGGTTCAAACACATACCTTATCTTGGATGTTAAAATAACATAGAAAGTGATCAAAATAACCTTTTAGATTATCCTTTGTGGCTGATTTAGTTATAATGTAAATTTTGCATTAAATTCCACTCATTAAGTTAAAATTTTACATGATATGGCACTGTTTTTGTAAACAAAATCTAATAAAATAAAAAAAAATATCCATGGCCCAAGTTCGCTCCCACAATTTTTGATTTTTATAAACTCGGTATTTGTCAGTAAAGCTAATTTTAGTCAAAGACGTATTATCTTCAATTTCATAATTATTTAATAGCTGGTGATCTTGTGAACTTTAACCTCCCTATGGCGGGTTCCACCACAAATCTTGCCCTTGGTTTATTTTACTGGAAAGACGCCTATCAGCAAGCCGGGGAGCTTGATAATATGTACAACTCAATCAAATGGCCTTTGGACTACTTTCTGAAATGTTGGAATCCTAACAAACAAATTTATTATGCACAGGTATTTTATTTTCATCTCAATATGAGATCATAATAAATCCTAGAAATTATACATTTTTACAGTCTAATTCATAAGGAAATAATGTTATTAACCACTATTTATTAGGTTGGTAATGGTGAACAGGACCATTCTCTTTGGAGACGAGCAGAAGACATAACCACTGCCAGACCCGTCTATTATTTGGATACCAACAAAAAAGGAAGTGACGTTGTAGGAGAGACGGTAGCAGCCATGGCCGCTGGGGCTATGGTCTTTAAAGATAAAGGTGAAATGACATTTGAATCTTCACAATCGTAAAAACTAAAATAAAAATAAAATCTAAAGAATATCAGAATTGACAATGACGTTTTATGTTTTTGGTGGTTACAGATGCAGCATATTCCCAAAAACTTCAATCCAGTGCCGAGAGCTTGTACAGTTTCTCCAAGACAATTAAAGGCTTATACAACAATGACATTAGTGACGGGGCTAAATTCTACAGGTAATAATATCAATTTATATCATGCAGCAAGTTTTTAACCCCGCAAATTTTCCTTTCTATCATCGACGCGCTTATCATAATGGACTAATTTACGCCGTATTATATATTATAATTTATACCTTTGACAAATTTAAAGCATTGCATTTTTTTTTCATAACTTGATAAGTATTGGCGCATGTATCAAGGATTTATAAAAAATGTCATTGTGTATAGCATTTCAAGTAGAGATTAAAAGTTTGACAAATTGATAACGAAAAATGTATGCATAAATTCTCGAAATTTAATACTCCCTTTTTTTCAAAGTTCCTCTCGGTACCAAGATGAAATGTGTACCAGTGCGACTTTACTGTACCTTTTGACGAATGACGCCGCCTACCTAACTGAAGCCGAGGCTGCTTATAATGAGTATGCCAGCGATAGCGCCCCCTGGGCTTTTGACTGGGACGATAAAACTGCTTTGTGCCAGGTAAGTTTCAGAATAAGAAATTTTGATGAGAACATTTGAAATAATACATTATTATATGCAAACTGTAACAAGATTTACTTTAGGTCAAGTGCCAGAGTGATTATAAGATTTGAGCATGATGTCAAATTCAAATTTTCGCGTTGATTTTATTAGAAGAAAAGCATGTATGAATACATGTATACATGTAAATGTATTCATTTGACTTGCTGTTTTAAAATTTAGATATTTTCAATATGTGTAATTTCATTTATCATATTTTTGTTTTAGTTTTTGTAAAGGATAGTGTAAAAATGCGAGAGATGTTTAAATAATTTACTATTTATCATTGCCAGTCATGACAAAATCTTTTTAAAAAAAATTGAAAAGTACATCAACTGCATAGCTACGTATAAGGAAAATGTGTCGTTTCTTACTAAATTTAGTCGAAATGTAAGGGCTTCTTACATCACACAGATATCAAAACAAGGATTATATTTTATTTTGCTTCTACACATTGACTAGTCAGTTACATATAAATGTATAGTCATAATCACCATTTCATGATCTTTTGCAGGTCCTTCTATATGTAGCTACGCAAAAACCTGTTTATAAATCCAGAACCGAGAAATTTGTGACGTCATACATGCCGGGTGGCTCCCTGCCCTATACGAATTGTGGCCTAGCCTTTCGGTTGGAATGGGGCTCACTGCGATATTCTGGTAATTTAAATACTTCCTTAATTTAAATCTGATTTTTTTGGTGTCTTTTTATTTCTTTGATAAGAATATACCATTTCTATTGAAAACCTTTTTTTTCTATTTCATAATACATGTATATGAAATTTTGTTATTTTTGATCCTTCAAATAGTAAAATTTCACCGAAAAACATAACATAAATAACCCTATGTTAATTTTTTTTTCCAACAGCAAATGCTGCTTTCATCTCGCTTCTAGCAGCACAAAATGGTATTGGAAATGCTGACTCTTACAAGACATGGGCAATGTCACAGATTCACTACATGGTCGGCGATAATAACCGAGACTTTAGTTACTTAATAGGCTATGGAACAAGTTACCCCTTAAAACCACATCATAGTGGAAGGTAACTAAAAAAATGAAGTTTAAGCCTGCAAGAAATTAAGTAGAAATATTAATACAAACAAATTTTCGACGATTTTGAAGAATTCTTTTGATGTAAATTTTATTAAAATTTATGAACTGAAATGCAGATCTTTGTTTCTTTAATTTAAAGTTACCATTGTATTTATTCTTTACCGAATTATATTTTCTAGTTCCTGTTCTCCTGCGCCTGCGCCTTGTGACTGGAGTACGTACGGAAGCAGCGATCCAAATCCCAACGTTCTCAGGGGCGCCCTGGTAGGCGGGCCAGACATAAATGATAATTACGTTGACGACAGAAATAATTTTAAAACAAATGAGGTCACATGTGACTACAATGCCGGCTTTCAGTCAGCCGTAGCAGGTACAAACACCAATTAGCTTTATTTTTAATCAATGATATAACAGTTGAAGTTTTTTATGCAGATATTTTATATTTAAAAAATTCTATTTTACTTTTAGGATTGCTCCATTTTGCTTTGAATGGAAACCTCCCGACGTCTCCGGCGCGGAAATGCTAAGAAATAAATTGGTGCTCTATTGTTTAATTTGTTAACATTGAAATAAATGAATCAAATTCATTGAATATGCTTGTTCTTTTCTCTTTACCCAATGTAGTTTGACTGCTAAATGTACATGCCTAGTAGTAATTTTTTTTAAATAAATTCATCAAATACGCAGGTAACTCAAAGACGTAACTCAGTAGACAGGAATTCATAAATTTGTTAGAAGACTATCTTTCATGATCATTTGCAAATGGCTTTGCTTACTGGGTTTCCAGCAGCTGCCAGATGTAATTAATTTGGACGATTTTTGGCCTCATGTCCAAGGATGGCTGGGACCATAAAATTCAAACTCTTTTTTTTTATTGAAGTTCCAGCCATTTCAATGAAAAGGTACTATGAACGCTGATCCAGTCGGTACGAGAGCTAGCTTTGCTTACGCATGTGTTCAACCTCTGGTGAGCCCTTGACGGGCCGTGCATAAGTCTCACCAACTTTTCTCGTTTATTATAATATTAAAAAAAACTACTCAAACTACATGTCTTCGGGCAGTAGGTCCTAAGTCCTAGTCAAGGGTGATGGCTACTTTCAAAACTCACGCAACCGGAAATTGCTTTAAGGTTCATTGACCCCCAGGCAAGAGGGATAACCCTACTCTGAATAAAACACTTATTCCTTTATTAAAATGTCAAGTCAAAATGCAATTTCTGTCAAATTTTGTACTGCAATATATGCTTAAATAGTGTGCACTTTAATTATGAATTAGATTTTTTACCGAGAATCATTAACGTCTAGGCAAAATTTTAAATGAGTGAACAAAGGAATGATGAACCCTAACAAGACTCTTATTTAAATGACCACTTACATATACCTAAATGACCACTTACATGTACCTAAATGACCACTTATATGTACCTAAATGACCACTTACATGTACCTAAATGACCACTTACATGTACCTAAATGATCACTTACATGTATATGTAGATAAATGACCACTTACATTTATCTAAATGACCACTTATATGTACCTAAATGACCACTTACATGTACCTAAATGACCACTTACATGTACCTAAATGATCACTTACATGTATATGTAGATAAATGACCACTTACATGTACCTAATTGACCACTTACATGTACCTAAATGATCACTTATATGTATATGTAGATAAATGACCACTTACATGTATCTAAATGACCTCTTACATGTACCTAAATGATCACTTACATGTATATGTAGATAAATGACCACTTACATATACCTAAATGACCACTTATATGTACCTAAATGACCACTTACATGTACCTAAATGATCACTTACATGTACCTAAATGACCACTTACATGTACCTAAATGATCACTTACATGTACCTAAATGACCACCTACATGTACCTAAATGACCACTTACATGAACCTAAATGACCACTTACATGTATATGTAGATAAATGACCACTTACATGTACCTAAATGACCACTTACATGTACCTAAATGATCACTTACATGTATATGTATCTAAATGACCACTTACATGTATCTAAATGACCACTTACATGTATCTAAATGACCACTTACATGTACCTAAATGACCACTTACATGTACCTAAATGATCACTTACATGTATATGTATCTAAATGACCACTTACATGTATCTAAATGACCACTTACATGTATCTAAATGACCACTTACATGTACCTAAATGACCACTTACATGTACCTAAATGATCACTTACATGTATATGTATCTAAATGACCACTTACATGTATCTAAATGACCACTTACATGTATCTAAATGACCACTTATATGTACCTAAATGACCACTTACATGTACCTAAATGACCACTTACATGTACCTAAATGATCACTTACATGTATATGTATCTAAATGACCACTTACATGTATCTAAATGACCACTTACATGTACCTAAATGATCACTTACATGTACCTAAATGACCACCTACATGTACCTAAATGACCACTTACATGAACCTAAATGACCACTTACATGTATATGTAGATAAATGACCACTTACATGTACCTAAATGACCACTTACATGTACCTAAATGATCACTTACATGTATATGTATCTAAATGACCACTTACATGTATCTAAATGACCACTTACATGTAGATAAATGACCACTTACATGTACCTAAATGACCACTTACATGAACCTAAATGACCACTTGCATGACTGTACCTAAATGATCACTTACATGTACTTATTCTTCTGCTGGAAGTTCAAGTTCAGTTTATTCACCCAAACCAAAATATTGGTACATGGGGTACATTAATAACATTTATCCCATGTTTACCCCTTTATCCCGTGGATATGACTCATTGGATATTTTTTTCACATCCCACAGTTAAGTGCAGTTGTGACGTCACAATGGTTTTTTGCGTTAGCGTGATGAAGTAAAATAAAGTGGAGTCCTATATCAAACAGTGTAAAACATTGGTTGTGAAATATTAAACATGGGATAAAAAGAATCTCCCATGATTTGTAGTTGGATATGATTTTTATCCAACTCGTTGTGTGTTTTTATCCCCTCGCCAAGGCTCGGGGATAAAAAAAACACAACTCGTTGGATAAAAATCATATCCAACTACAAATCATGGGAGATCCTATATTTAATTATTGCATCAAGAAGAAGGGAATTGTTTAACATATATTAATATATCTAAAGGATTACAAGTCCTTTTATATCTTATATAGTTTGTACATGAGATTTTCAAATTGTACCACACTGAAAATTTAACTCTAAATGTATGTGGTTATTAGTTATTTTTCATTTTTAATAAGATTAAATCAACTACCCATTGTTTTGACCATTGATCCAACTTATCTAAATCACTTGTCAGTGAGTTTGCTATATATCGATATATTGACGTATCATGAAGAAATAATCGAACATTGTTAAATTAGAATTAAAAATTATTAATGAAATAAAATAGAAACAGAAAGGGTCCTAGAACAGATCCTTGGGGGACACAAACTACATGTATAGTTGATATGTATTGATGTATAACCATTAATGACTACCAATTAATATTCATTATTTTATGATAAAAATGTTTAACCCAGTTTATAATTGGATCAGAAATTCCATGCTGTCTTGATTTCATTATGATACCTTTATGCCAAGTTCTACCAAAGATAGATACGTCACAGAACTCTACCTTTATCATGCTTGGATATAATAGTACATGTGTTACATATTTTAACCAGCTGGTAATAGTGGTTGAGTCACGTGCCTGGAATCCAAACTGAAATGTGTATATTATATTATTTTTAATTATATAATTGGTAAGTATACTTAACAATAGTTTTTTTTCTATTAACTTGCAAACAACGTTGTTACTGATATTGGGATCATTGTTTACATCATCTGCAGCAGTTTTCCAAATGTTAGAAAAAGGTTCATTATATAAGTGATATATCAGGGACGTATATACAATAGTAGTACATTAAAGGCCCCTGGATATATTAAATATTTTGTCAGGGGATTATGGATTGTTTGTGCAGCATGTCTTCAAATTCTACGTGCAACTGCATCAGAACCGAATGGCTTACTTATATATCATGATTTGTATTTGATTGAATATTTCTTTATCTGTAATAATTAATGAATCTAGCCCAATTTTTTTTTCATACCTTTTTCACAAAAAATCTTACGACTAAGACAAAAAATTTATAATTCACCAACAAGCATCTAAGCTTTAGTATGCCACAAAAGATCTTATACATGTACTTTTATTGTATAAGATTAAATTGTTAAATAATATTATAGAGAAAAGTAAATATCTTTGTTAAACAAAGAGTTAAAAAGTTGTCAAATTTTTGTCATAGTCGTAAGATATTTTTTTGTTGTTGTGAAAAGGATTACTACATAATTATAAATATTTTGTGTCTGTTTCTTTACAAGTATATTTCCTCTTTCGTCAGAAGGTTTTTTTTTTTTTTTTTTTTTTTTTTTTTTTTTTTTTGGCTGATCTAGACTGTCCAACCAAAAATAAATACAGGAGAAAATTAAGAAGCGAGCCGAATACGACAAGCAAATAGAAACTTTCGGAAAAGACATATAATGAAGTAAGTTTAGCTTGAATTTTTATATCAGATAAAATAATTTCCAAAATCTTTTTTTAATTATAAAAGCCAAAGTTAAACAAACAAGATTCTAAGAAAAAGCTTTTTTAAAAAGCCTTATTTCCATCAGTTCTGATATTTGGGATAGTACATTGCCGCATTTCCTTTAGTTTTATTTTCATCCAAATGAACTAATCAAATGAAAAATTGCTGTATACCGACCAACTTATGTGAAAATTATATATACAAGAGTTTCCATACATTTGAAGCTTGAGAGATAGGTTTGCAGAAGACGAGATTATACAAAAAGTGGAACCGCTATAACCTTAAAATGCGTGAAAGTTAACATGGAAATTAATGACGCATTTGTCATCTTTGGATTCACATCATATATTATGATCATATCTTTACAAGAAATATGACAGAACAAATGTGATTTTCATAAAGTCATTAATTAAACTAGGAGTTTCAGAATTTTTTTTTCAAAATTCAAGCAGAGAAAGTTAGTCCATGAAATGGTTGCCACCCCAATAGTGTGCACCAACTGCAAGCCAACAATGCAATGTTCTTAATTCAAATGTCACTATATGAATATTTGTATTAAAGTTTTTTCTCGCAATACCCAGGTACATTTTAGCAATTTTGATGGCTTTCTGGGCAGGAATAAGTCAGGCACGAAGAACAAGTGCACCGGTAAACACAGCACACAATTACAGCTTCATTCTCCATGAATCTATTTTATTCTACGAAGCCCAGCAGGCTGGTTATCTGACAAATAACAGGATTTCTTGGAGGAAAAATGCTACTTTATTGGACAGAGGTATTAACGGAGAGGACCTAACCGGCGGATGGTATGACGGTAGGAAAAATTCTATTTAGAATGACATTTAACACGTATTCGTATACTTTCGGCTTTTTACATGTAATTTCATTAATAAAACACATGGGGAAAAATAGTATTGCAACATCAAAGATATTCCCTTATTACAATTTTGGAAAAAGAGCAATATTTTTTCCTTAGTAAGGCAATTTAGTATGTACATGTACCTTTCTTCACAGTATACCAGTATTCAATTGTCTATAGTCAACTCTTTTATGCCTTAAAATCATCCATCGACTTTTGTATCACACACATCTAACAGAATTGCAAGTTTGTACGCAGTGCAAAGTTTGGTTCTTTATTTAAGCTAAACAGTATGACCAATAAGGTTCACTTCTCTTGCATACTGAATTTACGGCTGTTCCGCAAGTTTGTAATGCCATATGATGACAGATTATTGGAATAGTGGAAGCAGGTATGTCATTGAAATACATTGTTCATCAGTTGGGTCATCATCCTTTTTTGAAACCATCAGTAGCAATGTCAAAAAGAACCAGTTATCAAATGACGATACATCGTGCTAGATCGGGAAGACCCCGCAAAACATTTGTTCTGGGGACACAATGCACTCAGAAGGATAATAAGACAAACAGTTTTTTTCCCCAATAGCTCAGTTAAAAAAAGGGGTGGTACAACATCGTTTGCTTTTCAAGCAGAGCAGGGCGGAATTGACTTAAATAATTTTACCATCATGCCATCCTCACATCGTCAGTTAATATAAAACCGTAAAAACGTAGACAGTCAGTAAGCAGTTGACAACTCGATGCACGTCTTACAGGTTGTTTGTCACCGAAAGGTTTAGAGATAAGAAAAACAATCAAGATTTTTTTTTAATTTTCCCGAAAAACGAGTCAGCCCACAGAATATTGAATGAAGTTTGTCAGGGGTCCAACGGCCACGAATGGACTCGGGCAGAATCGCACATACAATATTATTTAAAGATGCTTTCCCTTTCTGACTATTTTTAGTACAAAATATCGGAATAAAACGAAAATTTTCATAGTCCAAATTTATTCTCGCATTTTTAAGTGTACTAAGAAAGCCACAGACTCGTTAAGGACATCGGATTTTGAATTTCTTTTATATTTTTAAATAGCTGGTGACCTTGTGAACTTTAACCTCCCTATGGCGGGTTCCACCACAAATCTTGCCCTTGGTTTATTTTACTGGAAAGACGCCTATCAACAAGCTGGGGAGCTTGACAATATGTACAACTCAATCAAATGGTCATTGGACTACTTTCTAAAATGTTGGAATTCCAATAAACAAATTTATTATGCACAGGTTATTATTTTTTTTCGGTTTGGGAGAATAAATCTTCATGTTAAATAGTTTATACAGTTTGAGGTACCAAGAATGTTAAAAGGAAGTTATGTTATTGAACACTATTAAAAAGGTTGGTAATGGTGAACAGGACCATTCTCTCTGGAGACGAGCAGAGGACATAAAAACAGCCAGACCCGTCTATTATTTGGATAGCAACAAAAAAGGAAGTGACGTTGTAGGAGAGACGGTAGCAGCCATGGCCGCTGGGGCTATGGTCTTTAAAGATAAAGGTGAAATGACTTTATAAATTTTGAATCTTCACAATCGTACAAACGAAAATGAAATAGACATCAATAGCATTTCAGAACTGACAATGATGCCTAATATTTTTAATTAATTTTGCACTTGCAGATGCAGCATATTCTCAAAAACTTCGCTCCAGTGCCGAGAGTTTGTACAGTTTCTCTAAGAAAATTAAAGGCGTATACAACGATGACATTAGTGACGGGGCTAAATTCTACAAGTATGTACTCCAATCAGGAAATACCGCCACCCACCCTCAATATTTTATATTAATGTCCGAAAATGGGCTAATTTACTCTATGACATCTGACTGCATGTAAAGAACTTTCAGTGAATTTAAAACTTGGCGAAATATATTTTGTCATGGGTTTATATGTAGTATTTTTATAGCGAATAAACGTTTGACAAATCGATTATTGAAAAAAAAAGTATGCGTGAAATCTTAAGTTTAACATTTTCCTCATTTGTTCAAAGGTCCACTATTTATCAAGATGAAATGTGCACCAGTGCAACTTTACTCTACCTGTTAACGAATGATGCCACCTATCTAACTGAAGCCGAGGCTGCTTATAACGAGTATGCTAGCGATATAGCTCCCTGGGCTTTTGACTGGGACGATAAAACTGCTCTGTGCCAAGTGAGTTTCTGAAAAAAAAAAAATTGAGAATATTTAGTGTACATGATCACTATTTGCGTTTTTAGACATGGTTATTCAAAATTTATATATATTTTTTAATATAAAGACAAAGTAAAATTAAATTTTCAGTTTCCTATGGATCGCTGCGTTGATTAAACACTGCTGCATTGCTTTGATTTTATTCACATATATTTGAAAAAAAAAGAAAAGAAATATCATTTTTCTATTTCTTTATAATTTAAAAAAGAAACACCCATACTTACACGATTAGTTGCATAATACGAGTATATTTCTTATTATAACAATAGTTTACAGTTTACACCCTATACTGACAAGAAAAACTGAATATTTATCATTATAGGTCCTCCTGTATGTAACCACCAAAAAACCTATATACAAATCTAGGACCGAGGCATTTGTGACGTCATACATGCCGGGTGGCTCCCTGAACTATACTAATTGTGGCCTAGCTTTTAGGTTGGAGTGGGGGTCACTAAGATACTCTGGTATGTATTTTTTTCTAATTTCCAAATTTCCAAATGTGCTACGGTGAGGAAATTGGCATGAGTTGCGGATGAAATACGCATTTCAGTCAAATTTTGATTTGTAAAAGACCCGCCTTTCTATCGAATAATAGTGCACCTTTAGGCTTTGCTAGAATATTAAATTACTTACATGTTCCTTTAAATGTAGGAAGTATCTATACGTCACACCATTTCGACCATTATACCAATAACAATTAAGGGTTTTTTTTAAAAAACTATTTTAGATAAAAATGAAAATTTTGTTTTTTAGTTCAATAATTTTTCTAAGTTTGCATTTTTTCCAACAGCAAATGCCGCTTTCATCTCGCTTCTAGCAGCGCAAAATGGCATTGGAAATGCCGACTCTTACAAGACATGGGCAATGTCACAGATTCACTACATGGTCGGCGACAACAACAAAAACTTTAGTTACTTTATAGGCTATGGATCAAGTTACCCCTTAAAGCCGCATCATCGTGATAGGTACATATAAATTTGAAAAGACAAAATGCAATTTACGCTTGCAAGCAATTAAAAGTTGTGGATACACTACTAAAACTTGTTTGATTTTCAAAATCTCTGATGGAAACTTTGTTGAAATGTATAAACTGCCATACATCTATTGTTTTTCTAGTTCCTGTTCTCCTGCGCCTGCGCCTTGTGACTGGAGTACATTTGGAAGCAGCAACCCAAATCCCAACGTCCTCAGGGGTGCCCTGGTAGGCGGGCCAGACGAAAATGATAATTATGTTGACGACAGAGCTAATTTTAAAACAAACGAGGTCACATGTGACTACAATGCAGGCTTTCAGTCAGTCATAGCAGGTACAATCTTTAATATATATATCAAACTGAATATTGAATAATTAACTTACCCACGTTTAAATGTTAAAATAAATAAACTAAGTCATCGTCGCAAACCAAGGCCAAATTGTACTATCCTCTCCCATTCTGGTAGGAGAGAGCTATGAGCGAACTCCGGACCTTGGCTTGAGATTTGAATGAGTTTGCCAAATATCAAGGTATTATTAAAACTACATTTTTATTCGGTGAAGTCTTTCAATGGTATTTTTATGTTTCTTCCAGGGTTGCTTCATTTTGCTTTGAATGGAAATCTCCCAACTTCCCCGACACGGAAATGCTAAGAAATATATAGGTGCTCTGTTGTTAATTTGAATGAATCAAATTCATTATGTATATTTGTTTCCTTCTCATTGTCCATTGTAATCATTTAGTTTGTTTGCTACATGCCCAGGAGTATAATAAATTTTCAATAGGACTTACAGGCACCCATCCTGACGTCAGGACCCAGTTGATACGACATACAAATATCATTGCCTACTATTATGTGTCCAGTACTAAATTAAAAGACAATTTCAAAAGATCATGAAGATATACCCAAAAGATAAAGCCATTTTTTCCTGAAAAATGACTAGAAAAAATCTAGTATATGGGGATAAAAGCAATGTGTATTTGAGGTACATGTAAGTATATATTTCCTAGGTGCACTAATTTGTCATTTCAGGCAAGATAATGTCTACTGCAGCAATATCATTTTGCATTAACTAGCCAGTCAGTCGGTATGACATACTGCAATACGTTCTTGATTTTCTTACATGTTATGTCCCATTAATCTTCAGAGGAACTATTTTCCGAGCCGTATGTTACTTAATACTATTATTATTTAAAAGAATATACTAGTAATTAAAAAAGTAGAAGTTTATCTCGTCGAAATCCCTATGTGGCATTTCCTTTGGTAAGTTTGTTTGCTCGAGATGTTTATAAAATTGAGGATTTTAAGGCAAATCTGGGGTAATGATCGATTTCTTCAAATCATGACAAGGTCTTTGGACTAAGTGAATTACAGTGACGATAAAATTGTCCGAAATTATGGTGGGCTTGAATGGTCAATGGAGGAGAATTCACATTGAAAATAAAATTAAGTCTAAAACAATTGAGAAATTTTGCTTAGGATACGTGTATTTTCTTCTGGAAATACAATGTGTTTGTTTGAAATCCACTTCAGCAGAAACGGAGATATCAGTTCCCCCCCCCCCCCCCAAAATAAGACAACAACAAAAGAATTGAGCACATGGGAGCTGTTCATGCAGACTCGACTTCGCTGTCTGAGAGCAGCATCCATAGACATTTTGAAACCGAAGCTGCAAGATATCAAAAACAGAACAACAAACACAGGAAGATGTTGATGACCTTGAAGTATATCTTGCACAGTTTAAAGGATGTTTACCGGTTATCTCTGGTAGGTCAGTAAAAACTGATAAAGAGATTGATATCGGGACAATTATTCATTTACTGCACTGAATAATTGTATATAACTGCCATTGAGGAAAAATGTTGAGAATCTGTGTTTACATCTTTTTTGTGTTCGTGGTTTTCGGAGTACAGGGACTGCTTCATCCGGGAGGAACTGGTCCTACGATAGAGGAGAGGTTTGAGGCCTTGGAGAAGGAGTTACGAGGAAATATCACAACATTACAACAGCAGATGTTCGCCTCAGAAACTCTGGCTCTGCGTCAAATCTTGACCCTTGAGAGGACCTTCAGGAAAGAGCTTGAACTTGAAATGGAGGAGCTGCAGGCCAATTTCTCAGCCCAGGAAATGCTTCTTGTCCAGGAAAGACAACTGAGGCTTGACCTCGAGAGGGAAATGAACAAGACTCTCCAAAACATTTCAAATGTGCTGCAAATATCGAAGTCTAGAATAGACAATGTTGTCGCAGAACAGGAAGCAAAGGGAAAACTGCTAGGGGTCAGTATGACCAATACAAGCATCTTCAGGTCAGCGATACAGCAACAAGTAAACCAGATATCAGCGTCCTTGTCTAATACTCAAAATCACTTGAAAACCCTGAATGCATCAATCCAGAGTGCTTCGACATCTTCCCGAACAGGTAAATTTTATGTATGGCTCAGCTTTTGACAGGAACTTATAGCATTTTCAACACGAGATCATATAATTATCTAATTCTTGCGAGTAAAATGACTGAAAGCATTTCTATGCCAGGATGTTTTAAAAATTAGTACCAAATCGCTTGTATTTATGTTCACTAACTGGGGGTACCAAATGTTTATAGGTGATCATATTCGAAAGAAATTTCCTGCTGAATATTTTACTATGTTGCTTTACGACTTTATAAAAAAAAAAAATACAGCTACATAAACTGTAGCTTATTATCCCATCCTCCATATAAGTACAGAGCTGCTTTCATAGATTGAACTAAAATCGAACTATTTCCATGTTTCCAACATAACTGTCAATTAACAGTTCTTCTGTTAAAAGAGAAGAAAAAATAAATGATGAGAGATTCCCTTCTTAAAATTTTCTATAACAGATCTTTCTTTCTGAGCACAGGTGATGGCACAGTGGTGGCTTTCACAGCCTATGCAAGCTCAAGCAAGGACTACAACACAGAGAAGATCGTGTTCAACTCTGTTATCACCAACTATGGTGGTGCTTACAACAGTGGCACGGGTATTTTCACGTCTCCTACAGACGGAGTTTATGCCTTTACTTGGACACATCTGACACATTATGGTCGTTACTGCCATTCATACTTGACTAAAGACGGAACCAGACTAAACCTTGACGCACATAGCAACTTACAAGGACTAAGTTCAACGGTATATACAATGGCAACAATGACAGGAACATTACACCTCTCAAAAGGAGACGAAGTCTGGATCCAGACTCAGCACTGTGAAGGCTTTCTGGGGTCCCCTTATAACTCCTTCTCTGGATGGAAACTTTGATAGAATAAAATAGAACAATCACAAAGAAACTGAACTTGTAAATTGATTTATAACTGATGAAAAGTGATCCAAATAATCCAAAATGTAAAATTTTCTGTAGAAAATTAAGCGTGTCTGGCTGGGTTCATTATGATGATGAATAAAATTGTGGTGGGCATCCGATCTCTCAGTACTGAGCTTCGAGAGGAAACTGAAAATGAATAAAATGCATTTATTCTAAATAAAATAAAGCAACCGGAATCGAAATAGAATGAATTGTTACGATAACGAAAAGAAATCGTGTTCAAGAGTCCAAATATACAATATAGTTTGTGAGCAGAATTAACATGGACCTCTGAAAACAGACCTACTCCTCCACAATTATGGAGGAGTAGGCATCCTCTGTCGACCGGTCACACCCACCATCTGCCTCTTCATGATCGGGTAAACGAAAAATCCGTAAACAATTCAGTGAGAAAATAAAAGCCTAACAATTTGTATGAAAGACTTTAGTCAATATTCAACTTAACGATAAATCGTATTTTCAAACAAGGTCATTTTATAGACCATTTTATAGACCATTGAATTTGCAAAATGATGACTTTGATATCCTTGTATTATCAACTTATTTGTCAAAAGTGTGCCTCGTTTTAGAAAATGATCGTCCGTTGAACATGCTCTTGTATATCAAATCAACCGGGAAACATAGGGTTTTTTCTTGCTACATGACAATAGAAAAGTTGAAGTCATCAAATTTATCGTAAAGTTAAGTTGTTAGTTTGCAATCAATGGCTTCTCTAGTAAAATATCCAAATATGAAACGGATCATGTACTGATTATACTGATCATGTAACCTGTCTAACTCTTTTTTCTACTTCTAAATAACTTAAGACATTGGATAGATGGTTTTTATTTTGCCCCATTAACTGTTTAACAGGAGATATTCTAGTATCCACCTTATACATTTAATCCATTCTGACAAAGTGTAAGGTCTTCTCCAGACCTTCATATTTGACCATCGCCTGGCATATTCTTCGACAGATTCGTAATATTTGATTTTTTTCGCCAGTTGAAAGATCGGGGTTCTCTTAATTTTGTTCCTTTTAAAAATAGTTGATTTAAGGTCCTCATTGTAAGCTATATTCACACACCAGTAATGACGTGTCAAGTAGGACTACAGTTGTAGGGAGAAGAAAATGAACACGCAAGAGGATTATTTCAGATGTTCGATATCTAGGCACTGTATAATTTTTTTGTAATTATAATGATTGGAAACAATAATCGATGAATATTTGTAATGAAAAGGGTGAAGATGACAAACAGTGCTCCATCTAAAATTAAAAAAAAAAAGAGGCTCATGGGCCACAACGCTCACCTGAGTAATTTTGACCTTGCTGTTTTTCACCTGATCCCCCCTTGTAGTACTTATTGAAGCCCCGCCCTACCCCCAGGGGTCATGATTTGAACAATTTAGAATCTACACTACCCCAGGATGCTTCCACACGAGTTTCAGCCTTTCTGGCCCAGTGGTTCTTGAGAAGAAGATTTTTAAAGATTTTTTTCTACATATTTCAATGTAAAACTTGGATTCCCAATTGTGGCCCCGCCCTACCCCCTGGGGTCATGATTTGAACAATTTAGAATCTACACTACCCCAGGATGCTTCCACATAAGTTTCAACCTTTCTGGCCCAGTGGTTCTTGAGAAGAAGATTTTTACTACATATTTCAATGTAAAACTTGATTCCCTATTGTGGCCACGCCCTACCCCGGGGGTCATGATTTGGACAATTTAGAATCTACAGTACCCCAGGATGCTTCCACATGAGTTTCAGCTTTTCTGGCCCAGTGGTTCTTGAGAAGAAGATTTTTTCTACATATTTCAATATAAATCTTGGATTCCCTATTGTGGCCCCACCCTACCCCCTGGGGTCATGATTTGAACAATTTAGAATCTACACAACCCCAGGATGCTTCCACATAAGTTTCAGCTTTTCTGGCCCAGTGCTTCTTGAGAAGAAGATTCTTTAATGACCCAACCCAATTTTTGTCTTTTCTTGATCATCTCCCCTTTGAAGGGGGCTTGGCCCTTCATTTTAACAATTTAAACTCCCCTTCACCCAAGAAGTGGTTCTTGAGAAGAAGTTGAAAATGTGAAAAGTTTACAGACGGACGGACGATGGACAACGGGTGGTCAGAAAAGCTCACTTGAGCTTTCAGCTCAGGTGAGCTAACAAAAAAAATCTGTGAACAGGGCATAAAACAAACGGACCCACAGAAATTCCAGAGGTGGGATCAGGTGCTTAGGAGGACTAAGCGTTCCCTGCCGATGATTCATACCCTCCGTGTCCTTTTGTATGGATCAGGTAAATGGAATATTTGGTAGTCAAATTAAGTATACAAACAAAGGCCTAATCAATTGGTTTGAAATATGTTAGTCAAAATACGACCCAGTGATGGGCTGTATTTAACAGGGTCATTATAACGACCATAGAATTTACGAAAAGCTGACTTTAAACGAGGTTGTTGAAATCCCTGTAACATCACAACTTATTTGTCTGTAGACTGCCTCAGTTCTCTTGAGTATCGAATGTTTGTAGACATAAACACTATATGCAGGTGATAGTGGAATATAACTACATTAATAGAAAAGCTGACAATGCAAAAGCTGATATCATCTTGTTTGTCATGCAATTTCCTTATATTAGTTAGTTCTTATCGACTATAGTCTGTAAAATATCCAAATATTGACAGATGTGGCAGACTCTGTGGTCTCTTTTAATTCAAGTTCACTGGAATATACTAGTAATGGGAAGACATATGAATGCAAGAAACTATTGTTAATTAATGGAGTGTTATCAATATAACTGAAAGTCGAGTTGAAGGCCACAAGAAATACAAGATGTGGACTTGATTCCTTCAAAAATAAGTTGGTGACCAAATTTTGCAGTGGAAAAAAAAAACGGTTTTCATTTCACTGTAACGCAAACAGACGATAAGATACTGTGGAATCACTGATTTTCGTAGGGGTTAATTTTCGTTGTTTTCGTGGTTTGAGGAAACCCAAGAATTTGTGTCCTCCATGATCACCAAATCTTACAATCTCAAACTACATTATCATGTTTGTCCTTCAACCACTAGGTCAAATCTTCATGAACCATCTTTTTTCCACAAACCACGAAAATTTGACCCCATGGTTATAAGTGACTCGTTAAAAAATATGCTTTGTATAAAAAAAATTCTTTCAAACAGCATTAAATGATGACAGATACCTTGAATATCTAGAACAAAATACACAAAGTACTGTGGAATCATCATTGTTCGTGGGGGATCAATGTTCGTGGATTTCGTGGGTCACCCTTTTCCACAAATTTACATCCCCACGAACATTTTTTTTGTCAACATGCTGATTAATTAAATCTACCAAATAAATGAGCTGCCCACAAAATTACATCCCCACGAACCAATAAAATTTTGCTTGCCCACGAACATTGACCCCAACGAATTTAAATGATTCCACAGTATTTGATATACATGTATACAACACAAAATTAAGTTTCACTTATCTTTTTTTTTATTTTGCAAGGTTGCATAATCACAAATAAAAAATCAAGAAAAATAAAATGAAGTTTTTGGTACCGGTACATAAATTTAGAGTACTAGCATCATCACATTCCATTATAGTAAGATGTATTTCATTTACACATGTACATTTGTAATTACACCATTTTTTACACATGGAATGTTTGCATTTATGCTTTTTTGTGAGAACATAAACTGGTAACAATGATAATAATTGACAAGATAATCACAGGAATGAGCAAGTACATGTATACCTTCCAAACTTACAGCAGATAACATAAATATTTACGCCTGTGCTTGAATTATCTGTACAAGTAGCTAGATAAATATCACAGAAAACATAAGAATATGTACAAATTGGGACGTAAGTAATTGTACATTCAAAATCAAATTATTCTGAAACCTAATTCAAATGTGCTTGTAGCTATAGTGTTAACATGATTAACGTTAAAACAATCGTGTAATAACTAGCATATGATAGGTATATATGTACACATGATACTAAACAACCATAATTTACGCTACAGTCATACAGCTGACAAGTACTGTGTACTCCATGCTAATTTTTCTACATATAAAAATACTGAGTAGAAATATATATAATTACATATAGCACTAATACAAAAAATACAAAATCTCTATTTAATGCACAGTATGGAAAAGTGTTATGATTGTTTTTTTTTCTTTTCTTGAGAACAGATAGGGTCCTAGAATTATCTAGATTGGTATGCCTAGAATTATCTAGACTAGTATGCTTAGAATTATTTAGATTGGTTTGTCTAGAATTATCTAGACTGGTATTGCATATTCCTGGGGACAAAAGCCTGGTCCATTCACCGTCTCTGCTGGAAAACCTCTCCTGAAAGAATAACACGACATATTTATCAATATAATGCACAATTTAAGAAGAAGATAACTTAGATCCAAAATTTTCCTGAATTCATCTTTTCTTTCATATCCAATTTACATACATTTCTGGTTAACATTCATTATATGCTTTCTTTTTCTAAACATTCTGTATATTTACATGACTAGCAATCAATGAGCAAGTTCTGCTCTTCACATTAAAGAGCATAGAATAATTTGTGCATAATTATAAACTGAGTTTCTCCTGGTGGCAAAATTCTACTGTGAGCCAATTTTCATGCATTGTTTAATAAATTTACGGTTATGCTGAGGCAGAATTTTGTGGGTGAACATTTAGTAAAAATGACATCACCTATATTTCAAGATATCTAGAATTTGTAAGTTTGTGGACAATGGGGTACATACAAAATCCAAAAATACTGAACTCCCAAAAAACATAATGATCAACAGAATTTGTTTTCTCAGTGAAGTAGATAAACTGGTCAGTAGTACACATAAGTGTATGAATGTATCATTTGCAGATGCCTAAATAGTAGCTAAATGTGACCGACACAGTCTCCGAGTGATAAAATTTTATCTTACTTGATCATTCTACAGCGATGTTCCTCCAGTCTTGGGGCAGCAGCGTTAGCATCTTTAACACTTTGAGCACTCCATAAACGCTCTGCAACCACCGAGGCACGTGGCCTGACAGATAAATTAGAACTTTGTGCAATCATTCTTAAAACAAAACAAATAATTGCCAAAAAATAAATAGTTACAATACTTTGATTTATACTGTAAATCATCTTTTATTTGCAAGAACTTTATTTTTGCGTAATTATGCGAGACAGTGTGCTCGCAAAAATTTCAAATTCTTTTATAATAGTAATCTTTATGATTATACGGAGCAATAACCACAATTCATGAAAATTTTGTCTCACTTAACAGACATCGACTATCTCACAAAAATAAGATGTCACGAAAATTTAGTGATCTACAGTAATCCAATTACAAAATCTCTTATAGTAATTTTTTCCAATTCTGTTACACAGAAAATTTTAGAAATTTTCCAGTTTATGGAGCATATACATTTTTACATTGTATATATTTAGAGTACCAATACTTATCACTCTCATTAAATAATTTATTTATGGTATGAAATTTTATTTACCACTCCTTGATGATTTTTCTATATCTAATACTCACCATGTTCGCGAGAGTACATTGGTGTTGTCTACGTATTCCCCCCACATACACACCTCTCCTCCAATTACAAGCTTCTTCTGCTCAGCTGTTCCTGTAAATCAAGGTCAAAAGATCAGTGATTGATGAATCAAAAGATGTATACATTTGTATTTATGTACATATATACATGTATATACACTTAGAATTACTGGTTGAGCAAATTTAATTAATTAAGATTAATTTCATATTTTTCATAAATCATTATGAATTTCATTGAAACAAAAGCAATGAAAAAATGATAGCATACCATCAAACAAGAAAAAATCATAATATTGTAATAAACAGTATTGCCATGCAGAGGAAAACATGCTGCACCCAGACTTAATTAGCTAATAGCCTTGACATTCAATACTGTGCTTCCACTAACAATGTGTAATGTACAGAATATAATGTCCGAACAATACACTCAATTTGTATATTTACTGTAAATAAACTTGAATTTGCTTCAACGTCATGAATTATAGGAAATATTTGTTACACAAAATATTAAGGAATAATGTTTGTGTATGCGTTTGTGCTAGTACTACTTATGATAACACTAAAGAGTACTTTCACCTATATTGAATTCTCAAGTTCAATACAAGCTGACCCTATAAATTCGCAAAATTTGATTTTTGAATCACTGTATGAGATTGACAAAATCCTATGATAAATTCAAATTAATTTGATGAATCTGTACTTTTTTTCATGAAAATTTTCAAGTGACATTAGAAGGTTTGAAATCCAAATAATTGTATGTTGGTTTTTATATGATTAAGCCAGGGAGGTAACACTCAAATTTACAATCATACTAAGCTTCATCTGAACCACAAAAGCAGCAAGGCATTATTTGTATCATACCATTGAAGTTATATGGATCACAAGCGTAATATTTTGGCCAGTCTGATCCGTAGGAGATGTAGTTAAGGTACCAACAAGAGGACAAGAGCGTTTCATAACCCAGGGCAGTAACTTTGCTCATTTCTTCCTGGTAGCCATCCTTCCAAACCTCTACAACTGTGTCTGGTTTAACCTTTTTGTGAAATTTACATATTACAAAATTAAATTTAGGCCGCAATGAAAATAAACTCACTTTAAAGGGGCTTAGACACAGATTTGAAGTTTATATTTTCTCAAATTTTCTGTATAATATCATGACTAATATGTTGCTATAGCTCTTCACATGGAAATATAATGAAAAAATTATTTTATCTAGAAATTATTGAAACTACGAATTTCGGGACGCATTTGATTGGCACATCCTTGCACTTTTAAGAAGTAAACTTTATCCTTAATACTTAAAAAAAAGTAGAAATGAAATTTTTTTGTGTATTAATGAAAAATATTAAAACAATAATCCAGAAAATTCAGAGTAGACAAATGAGAAAGCAAAACCAACTCACCAGTATTGTCAGTCCATGATCAGTGATGCGTGCAGCTTAATAAATTGAACACACCCGTGAAACGTAAACTAGTTTTGTAAACTGGGCACGAGCTCTGTTATTGTTAATGTTTATGTTTCACAGGTGTGTTCAATTTGTTAAACTCTGCACACATCACTGAGCACTGACTGACAATACTGGTGAGTTGGTTTTGCTTTCTCACTTGTCTTCTCTGAATTGAATATTAACTTCAAATCTGTGTCTAAGCCCCTTTAAAAGAGATGATAATTTTTCAAACTTGCTGGTATCCAAATGCATAGCTATTTGGGGCATCCTAGGCCAAAACATATCTCAATACAGTGCTAGTAATATGTTTTTTAAAACATTTAAATGAGTTTTTGCAGTAACTTCAATGGTAGGATTTGTACAGCAGCTCTAAGAGATTAGTAAGTCCAAAACAAAATCCAATGCATTTGGAAATTAAGTACTTGTTAATACCAAAAAAATCATCTGGGTCACAATTGTAAAAATTGGGCCAGTCTATTCCGTAGGCTATATCACTTAGGTACCAACACGAGGAGAGAAGAGCTTTATAACCAAGGGAAGTAACTTTGTATAGTTCTTGTAGATAACCTCTTTTCCAAACCTCCACTACTGTATCTGGTTTTACCTTAAGAAATTCAACATTTATCCAAAATAAATATACAAGGAATACACTAAATTGTAAACTTATAACTTTGGACTTTTTTCTTCAATGAAGAATATTTGAAAAAAATATCATATTGTGTATATTAACTATCTTTTTTGCACAATGAATTTCCTGTGAATTTCAAAGGACAGTTTCAAAGTTAATTTGTTCAATGATAAATTATAGATATGTTCTATAAATTCACTGGATGAACTTCAATGGTATGATACATATCACCTTTGCACATGCACATTTAAATTCATTTTTCAATAATGACACTGTCTCATGCATCTAATTTTATTTTAAAAAAATAATCTAGCATCCTGCATGTGTGTGTATCAACTGATGAAAATAGGGGGTGGGGTGATATCACATGTAATTTTCATGACAAGTTCATAAAATCTGAATTTGGAATAACTGTTGTGTATGTGCATCCATAAGACTTGAAATAAAACAATCACTATATTCCTTGTAAGCCTTGACAACTAGAAAGTCAGTTAGTTTAAAGTAAAAGAGCTTCAATTTTGACTTGCAAGTCAATAATTGCAGACAACAGGCTACAAAGCTACAATGACAACTTTCATGTGGAAGAGCACATATCAGTAAAGAAAGAGAACCCAAAATGGAAACAAATATGTCTAGCTTCTGAAAATCATACCAAAAAAATTATGGGGATCACAGGCATAGAAGGCCTGCCACTGGACGCCATACTTGATAATGTCTAAATACCAACAGGCCTGAAGCAGTGTCCTGTAACCTTTAAGTGTCGTCTCAAACACGTGGAGCATGTAGTTCTCGTTTTTATATATCTCAACAATAGTGTCCTTTGATATCTGTTCAAAGAGGAGGAGAAATTTACCAAGTCAGATAGGAGATAAAAAATATAGGTACACCAGGATTGACAACTCCCTACTAGTTTACAAGCTTTGTCTACCACAACATTTGATCTTAAGGACAACTTATTGAAAATCTGTTTAAGCTACACATATGAGACTGATATCGTTTTCAAATACAGATACTGAAAGAAAATGGAATATTGATACTTCTGGACATTAAAAATTTGATGAAACTCTGAACACTAAACCCCCCCCCCCCCTTCCAAAAAAAAAAAGTTTATGAGGAAAAAATTATGTTAAATACAAATACTTTCAATAATTTTTTTTTTCTTGGTCAGCTATTGGTTGAAAACCTTTCCTATTTGGAAAGTGATGGATGAACAAACATGTTGGTATTTGCATACACATTTGGGGTACAGAAATAACTTAACTGTGCATTTTTTTTTCATAAATATGTAAATCAGTTTTAAAATTGCAAACTTCAAGGGTAGGATAACATTACACGAAATTATCCCTGAAAGAACATACACAACATTTACCAACTGATTTATCAAGGCTGTCAGAATTCAAGCATGAAAACTGCCCAAGACACTCAAACCTTTAATAAGAAAGTAAGTACAAAACAATAATCAGTCTTGAAGTTATTATTGAAGAGTGTTTCTGACAGGAAAGACCCAAAACTCTTTCATGACAGTGTTTGTGACGGGTAAGACCCAAAACTCATTCAATAAAGTGCTTCTGACAGGAAAAACCCACAACTCATTCAATAAATTAAAGTGCTTCTAACAGAAAAGACTCGAAACTCATTCAAAAATTCAAATTGTTCCTCTCTTTTAAATTTTTTATCAAAAATACCCATGATTGTGCTTTAAAGGTGCAGGAGTGTAAAATTTGTACAAATAAGTCTGGTGTGTTCTACTGTGTGTGTTGTTTTACAGGTGCATTCTATTTTTCATTCAGATTTTGTGTGTGTGAGACTTTAGTCTTATGATTATAAAATGATAGAATTAATAAAGCTCAGATTAACAAATCAGTATACATGTACACAGGTATATAAATTTAGTAAAAAAGTATAGTCATCAGAGTTAATTCGGCAAGAAAAGAATTAAATCAGCCTAAATATAAATGAGTTATACTGGAAACTTTTGTATTAGAATCAAAATCTCAGACTGGCTGGCTAGTATATTTCACACACATCAATATTAAATTGAATGAAAAGCTACTGGAGAGGAAAATGTAACACATCTAAGTTAGAGGAAAAGTGTACAGGTATGAATGCTCCAGTAATGAAATCCATACCATTGAAGTTTCCTGGATCACAGGCATAGAAAGCCTGCCATTGAACGCCATATTTGATTAAGTCTAAATACCAGCATGCTTGAAGAACTGTCCTATAACCTTTAAGTGTTGTAAGGTACACATCAAGCATGTACGCTGAATTTCTATAAATCTCTACAATTGCTTCCTTTGAAATCTGTTAACATACAGGAATATCATTTAAGATTTCAGTAGTATATTCATTAGGGATGGCAATTGAATACAGAATTGCATAATCGGTCAACCGCAAGACGATCGGTTGATCGTATCAAAAATTTTCAATATATTTCATCATAATAATTTGAAGAAGACTATAAAGACATTACATGTAGTAATATTATGTTTATATTTTATCAAAAAACTATATATGATTTCGTTTTATTTCAATTTTAATTGGGAAAAACATGTTACATGCCTGAAGTATCAGTTACATTTATAGAAACATTTCAGAACAGATGTCACGCAAGTTCATTCTGCATTGTCACCATAATCACAACTAAGTTTGAACTATCGCTTAATTAACTTTGTTTGTTTTATACTATAATTTGATAGGTAACTGCAAAGGATAGAAGACATAAGGTACACATTATACGAATGTAATCAGTTCACAATACTCGACTATCATTTAATTAAAATCAAGATTAAAGAAACACTTGACAGGTTGGGTAATGACATGGTGTTTAAACAGCAATTAACACCTCCAAAACTGACCAATTACCCCCACTATGTCAATCTGCGGAGTCTTGATTATCTCCGAATCAGCTTAAATAGATAGGTGAAAGTGCTAACATTTCAGATATATTTTTTTTTTTTTAATTGAATTTTCAGGAAATTGTGTTTAAATTTACACATATATTAATTTTTTCCCATAACCGATTACAGATTTTATAACAGATTACCACCGTTCCGACCAAGTAACTGGTTAACTGATTAGAAATTGCCATCCCTAATATTCATATTTAATCCCTTATAATAATTCATTATTCAATATTATTCTTAACTCGTAACTTTTCTTCAAATTTTGATTGACTCTCATTTCCTTGCTTAAATATCGAAAACTTTTATCAAACCAAGAATTTTAAAATAATTTTCATATTTACTTCGTATTCAAGTCAATAGTACTGGATGATAAAGGTCAAGATTTCAGAAATACATGTATGATCAATGATCTGACAGACAAAGCAAGTAATCTATAGATAGTTTACTTGTCAGACAGTTATGAAGGTTACATTTGGATGACTTAAGTTATATTCAAATGTCAGAATTCTTACCTTGGCTCCATTATCTACAACTTCTTGCCAGATCATGTAACCTTTCTTTAGCCCACCCACAATATCCAGCAATCTACAAAAACCATACAGAGGTTATTATATCATTTACAACAATCTACACAAACCAAAGAGAGGTTGTTATTTTTAACAGGTAGTGTACTCAAACTTTAGGTACAAGTATGGTATATTAGAATAAAGAGTAGGTAGAAAGTAGATAGATTTACACTGTACTCTCTACCAGGACTAAGGTGTTTAAGGAAACTTTTCGAAAATATTAACGTTTTAGAAGATGTCATATTTAATCTCAAACAGGCTTTCAAAACTGATATGTTATTGACCATGTAATTCTCATATACATGTGTTTAAGGTCTTGAATAGTCTTGTACAGGTTTAATCACCTTTGTACATAATATTCTTCTAGCTTTGCATAATCAGTTCCAAAGCCTTTCTGTTTCATAAATGCTGTCACATTTGGATTGCTTTTCCTGAAAAAGAAAAATTTAATTCCTTCATCTCATTCTGCCAAACAAAGGATATTTTATTTATTATATTCATTTGTTGGAATAAAGCTAAAAACTTAGAAGAATATGGAACAATCACTCATTTCAATTCGACAAATTCTGAACAAGGATGAAAAATACTAGAAATGTACAAACCAGCAATCAAAGTTGACCTCATCACCACCAAGGTGAATGTACTGATCCGGGAACACTCTACCAATTTCTGCAAAGAACTTGGACAGGAAGCCATAAGAGGTCTCCAGGGTGGGATCTACAGGTCCATACTGTCCATTACGTTTACCTCCACTATAGCACTTTGTCAGGAGGTCTGTGATTGATTTACCCCAGGACTGGGAGTGACCTGTATAAATGGAATGGAGAAGGATTTTGAACTAAGTCTCAATTAATATAACAAAGACTTAATTTTGTCTTCATCAATCACTAGTCCTACTTACCAAATATTATTTAAGTGCAGAACAGAAACATGTATGTTGGATTAGTGATTGCAAATGGTTTTTCATTTTTGCTTGGCAAATATTTTGGAATCATCATCTGTTGGGGGGGGGGGGGGGGGCAATGTTTCAGGATTTCATGGGTCACCCTTACCCACAAATTTACACAGATCTCCAAGAATGAATCTTCTGTACATGTGAATCATACCCAAAAGATTAAATTCCTACCAACCAGTAAAATTTTGTTAGCCCACAAACATTGGCTGTCACGAATTAAAATGATTCCACAGTCCTGTAGAATATGTAAATTAAACATGACATAGGGAATGATTACTGTTTTATGGTTTCTTGACTTAAGCTTTTTTGATCAGGAAACAGTCAGTGACTGACTGTTTCCTGATCAAAAAAGCTTAAGTCAACAAATTGTATACCATATACAGTAATCATTCCCTATGTCATGTTTAATCAGTCACACACTAAATTTTACTAATTTTTAAAAATTAAACCTCCTATGCATTAAACTTTTAGAAAAATTCTGTTAATTTTTTTTCTTTTTTTTGCACTTGAACTTAAATTGATTCTTACACAAGGAAATTTTCATGTTAAAATTTTACTTAAATTAAATATATTGTCATAACCTTACCTGGTGAATCAAACTCTGGAATTACTCTGATACCCAGAATTCGGGCAAATTCAATGATTTCTGCAATCTGATCCTGGGTGTAGATGTGTCTAGAATCATAGGCACCCTGAAATAAAAATACTGTAAAATCACAGATTTTCAAGGGGTCAAATTTTTGTGATTTTAGGGAAAATATTGGTTTGTGGGGATTGAATTTCATGGATGAATAAGTGGTTAGTTGTTATTTATTTGAAAATTTAGAGTTCATGGAGGACATGAGTTCGTGGCCTGGATATCTTCATACCATGTAAACAACGAAAATTACCCCCCCCCCCCACCCCCCGAAAATTAGTGATTTCTTAGCACTCTGATTTAAAGAAGAAACTTATACATATTTACAATTAAACATAGGTACCGGTATCTGATACTTTGATGTCTCAGATACCATATATATGTCAAAGTGAGGTGGAACTCTCAACTTCGTTTTCTTTATGTATTTTGAACTTGATATTATCTCAAATCCTTGGACATTTCTGAAGTTTTTTGGGCCCTACATAGTTCAAGATAACAGGGTTTGATTGTACTAACAAATCTTTCTGCTTCTTTCAGATTAATATTTACAAGAGATTAGGACTATATATAAAACTTTCTTGTCTGATGTTAGTGACTGTTGATATGCAGTAATATTTCCCGTACAAATTCTTCCTTCTTTATGTTGTGTTCATATATTACTTCCTTTTTAATTTATGAGTATGTATGTACCCAAGTACACTCATTTGTAAATTTTCAAATGGTTATATAAATATAAATAAATAAATAAATAAATATATATATATATATATATATATATATATATATATATATATATATATATATATATAAGCTGTTCTCTACATCTAATGATCATCTCATTTTTTCACTAGATTATCTCCCCTTGGAATTCACACCATTGAACCAAAAGATACTTTGAATAAGATTAAATACTCATTTAGGAGAAAATGCAAATAAAACTGTAGTAAATTGAACAATAAACTCTATTAGTGAATGTGTCACCTGCAGTTGGACCTATTTTTTTTTACCAGAGAGAATCTCCCAGACATATACAGTTGAACTTTGGTATCTCAAACACTGATATCCCGAATACCATGGATATGTGCAGATATCATCTGCATTTTCCCATAAACAAAAAAAAAATTTAAAAATTAAAGTACTAAAAAAATGATTGGGTAGGGGCAATTTTGAATGTTTGGTCGTTCGATCAAAGTACATCAAACATTTTTTATTGTTGGCCCAAACTCTGTACAGTAACTCCACACAAAAAATGAATCTCGTTTCACATCCACACCTAGTGCACATCTTGAATAATATCATATAACAATTTCAAGAGCCATGAAATAGTACTTGAGACCATCTGTTTGATAATTGAAACTGTCTCACATTATGTTACCTAACACACATACATAATAGACTGCAGAATGATCAATTATAATAAATTAAAATACAGAGAAATATCAAGCTTTTTACTGGTAAAATCAATTTTTAGTACTACTTCTCAGCACAACTGTAACAGATTTACAGTCATTCTCTGATGCAATGAAAAATGAAATGACCTGAACTTTACTGCTTCTTATAAATATACACACATGAAAATACATGTAATAACAGAATATTTTCAACTTACCTTTGACGCCATGTCAGGGAAGTTTTTACTTGTGTATGGGAAAGATTGGTCATCCACAATGTGCCAATGAAATACATTGAATTTACTCTGTGACATGGCAAGCTGAAATAAAGGCAAATCAAACATATACAAATCATTAAGGAAAGCTTAAACTGCATTGTATTAAAACAATGTATTTAACAAAAGAGAATGTAGTGGGTGTATTCATGATAGTCCATTTCTAAGGGGAACAATTTGACTTTTTTCCCTGACAACTTGTTCAGACACAACCACTTACTTGTGCCATATACTGGTATGAGCTTTCAAGGTTTTTAAATAAAAAAGGCAGGTTTTTTTTGATAGCTTATACTTCTAATTTCAGTGACCTTCACAATTGTTATGCACTCCCTGATCATATCTTTAGGTCAGTTATGGACTTAACCTGGTGGGTTATGAACAGAGGTAGTGCTAGCTGACTCATTGTAATTGAAGACCGAGGAACATTAACTGGCAATATTGGAAATACTGTAAACCAACTTTTATTTGCGTGCAAGAAATATTTGCAAGTTTCGCGACCTACGTTATCTCACAAATAATAATCGCTGAGAACCATTTATTTCGCTTTGTATTTGTAGACAATGTTTCCTCAGTCCCGAAAATTAATTGTCGCGGATTGATTTCAAACTGACGAATAAAAGATGACACGAATAATAGTTGGTTTACAGTATGCAGATTATGTCATTATACCCACAGCTTAAAAAGTTGGGGGGGGGGGGGGGAGGTGTATATAGTGATGACCATATAGTGATGAGGGTGTCTGTCCATACATCCGTTTCACTTGGGGTTAGCCATCCCTTACCTGCAACTCCTCCTTTACCATCTAATGCAATTTATTGAGACTTTCACATAACCTAATGGCCATAATACATGGTGCCATTGTGAACTCCTATATGTATTTATGTTTTAATCAGACACATATCTGGGATTCCCCATTGCAAAACATGGACACTGCCATTCTTTCTTTAATATTGGGGGTACTCATTCCAGAGGTAAATGACATACCTATGCTGCATATTTCCAATACCATTAAATCTTCTGCAGTCTTAAACAAAATCAAAGAGATAAGAATTGTAAAATTCTTGACCAGTTCACTTAAAAAAGGTTAAAAGCTCACACTTGGCACAAACAAAGGTTATGAGAAAGAATGTGTCATGACCTTGACCTAGATTACCAAGTATTTGGACAAGGTCACAAAGATAGGAAGAGTAAAATTTTTGTCTGGTTAAAAATTTTCTTGGAAGTAATGGGGAAATGCAGCTAATTCATATTTGGTAAAGGTACAATGTGACAAGAAGATATTATAAATTAGTTAACTTGATGACCCTTTCAAAAATGCACTTTTAAAATAAAAATATTCTTCAGAGAATAAAAGTACCAGATTCTGTTTGATGATAGTCACATCTAGGAAATGTCTGGAGGTATCCAATAAGAGCCCCCTGTGCTGAAATCGTGGGTAGTCCGATATTGTTGTACCATTCACGAAGAACTACCAAAATATAATGTTATCGCAAATATAAACTTCACATGCAATATGAAAAAAATATATACACGTACTTAAAATAAACAGATATTTAGTATATATATATCTATGATTTAAATTTATTTTATGCATATCCAAAATACAAAAATAAAATTGTTCAGAATTCAGAGCTACCTACCATATTTGTATCTTGTTGTAGGACTAACTGACTGAAAGTTTCAATCCCCCTTAAGGCACCCCAAACACTGTTTGAATTAAGTGTGGCTCCTGTTGCACTAATCGTCAAGTTATCTAAAAGACAATATGTATACGTGTAATACTAATAAATAAGCCAATTTAAGTCAAATGAAGAAACACAAGAGGCCCAAGGGTCACAATGCTCACCTGAGTATATATATATATATTTATATGTTAATTTTGCAGATTGCTAGTCAGAAAACAAAAATTTCAGTTATTTCATAGCAGAAAACTAGTTTCATTTCGTCAGATTTTCTGCACTCTATTCCCGAATTTCAAACAGATGACTTGTTTTAATTTCTGCTTCAATTTTAAAAATAATAGATTTATCGCTAATAAGAAAGATTAACATTGTTTTTTGTGTAAGTTTTATCGCAGATAGTGAATATTTTATTGTTTCGTGTCATTCGTTAATGTTTAAAGCCTGAATTTTTAGTTAAACAACTTATTTCCACTTGGGGTTCCAGCGGCGAGAATTTTTACAATGGATGCTAGAGGTTACGCGGCGCCAAGTCAAAAGTATCTCGCCGTGAACCTCTAGCATGCTGAAGTAGGTTGTACCCTACCCTCAGGGATTATGATTTGAACAAACTTGAATCTACACCACCTGAGAACTGCCTGAGGATACTTTCATACAAATATGACAAATAATGACTTTGCTGTTCTTGAGAAGAAGAATTTGAAGGATTTTTCTTTATAATGTTTTCCTTTGTCAAACACTGACTGCCAAAATTGAGAGTACACTACCTGAAGATGCTTTTATGTAAATATGATTAATCATGACTTTGCTGTTCTTTAGAAGAAGAATTTTTAAAGACTTTCCTATGTATTCCTATGTAAAATTTGATTGCCCATAGGTATCCATCTACCCCCCAGCCGGAGTTCATAATTAATTTGCACAAAATTGCATGGATCTACACTACCTGATGATGCTTCCATACATAAATGATTAATCATGTCTTTGCTTGATAAAAAGAATTTTAAAGGTTTTTCCTATGTATTCCTACATTGTATAAAACTTTGATTGCCCAAAGTGGCCCCATCATACCCCGGGGAGTCATAATTTGAACAAACTTGAATTTTTACTACCCCAGAAACCTTTCACTCAAGTTTCTTTTCTTTTTTTTTTTTTTTTTGGGGGGGGGGGGGGGCCTAGTGGTTCTTGAGAAGAAGATGAAAATGTGAAAAGTGTATGACGATGACAACAACAATGCTTAAGTTGATTATTCAAGTTTCCCTGGAATGACAAACTTGAAAACACTTGAGAACTTTTTTTTTGTTATTATTGTTGTTGTTGTGAACAATAAACAAAAGAAAAAGGGGAGGGGTGTTTCACAGGTCAAGGAAAATCACTATATTTAGCTATATAGCTTAATTTACCTATATAGATTTATTTACCTATATAATATAGCTTTATTTAGCTATTTTAGAATAAGTTTCTGTTTTATGAAAAGCAAACAAAAAGTCGCATGAAAATTATGGCTGATATTTTTTAAAAAAGGTTTGATAAAAACAACCTAGGGCATAGATAGTAAAAACATTGCCTCTTTTAAACACTATTTAACCAAAAAATGCATCTCTATTGTTTGGATAGCTGTCCATTACTGGAAGTGCGATGAGGCATGACTAAGTGTGATTGCCTTGCATTGAGCTGAATTATTACCAATCAATTATCTTGTTGACCAAAACTGCTTTTCTTTGTTAAAGTAGCTGCTTATTCACAGATTAACTGTTATACATAGCCCCAAAACTTTTAGATCTTTGATTGCAATTGCACAAAAGGAGAAACATTTTTAAAAGTGGGTTTTTGGTGAATTGTTTTCAGTCCATTTCAAAGCTGAAAACTAATACTGCCTCATTATGCAACTTTTTGTCTGCTTTTCATAAAACAGAAATTTACTCTGAAATAGCTAAATAAAGCTATATTATATAGGTAAATAAAGCTATATAGGTAGATTTAGCTATATAGCTAAATATAGTGATTTTCCTAGACCTGTTTCACTTACAAGATTCATCCATTCCAAGGTATGGATACCGGTCACATTTGTTTTTGACGTTGACATTCAACACTGTAAGAGAACCAGCTTTAAGAGAATTCTTCGGGTGGAATTTCAGAGTTTCTTCTCTCATTCCAAAAATAATTGTCTGATAACGGAAGAAAGCAGATTCTAAGATATCACAGCTTTGGCCAGTCGCTTTAAATTTAAATGCATTCCGATTTATTGTGTAAACATCAGGTGTAGATGAATATTGCTGAGGTAGGGGCCATGGCATTCCTGTAGTCGCTGAAACCGACACCAGTTTTTCTTTCTGGTATTCACCATTGCTGGAAACCAACCCTATAAGAAAATGAACAAACAGAAAGCAAATTACCACCGCCATGTTTGTGTAGATCTAGTCACATGAGAAGCAAAGGTCACGTGACTTGACCGGTAAAGCACTCGGTGTTCATCGTGGAGTGTATCGGAATTATCCGAGGATTGCCGATTGTCGATAACGCACTAAACGCCGGAAAGTACCGAAAAGGAGGTAGTTTCCGAGGAAACACATCAATTCCATCAAAATATGAGGAAGTACGATAAAGACAAAATAATTGAAAACACTTATTTCTATTTTAATAATTTTATAATCACTAAATGAACAAAAAACCTCCACCTAAAATTTTTATTGTTATTTTATCTGAAACACCTTTAATAATTTTTTGTTGGGTGAAAAAGTTTTTTTTTCTGAATCTATAGATGTTATTACAGACACTTCATACTGTTCCTCTTTCTTCAAGGTTTATTTCAGCCAACATTTACCATAATGACAGGAATTATATCCCCCTTTCTATTGCAATTTATGTAGCCCATAATGATTGTTTCAGCTGCTCTTTTGATTTTTTTTTTTTTTCATATTATAATGCTAAAGATGAGAATTCTAATGGTAAGGACACCACAAAAAACGGATTCTAAGCCAGTATTGCAATGTTGTGGATACCACAGCCAGTAGTGTCAAAAGCCAGGTTTCTAATGTTGTAGAAGTCACAGAAAACGGTGTCAAAGGCCAAGATCTTTATGTTTTGGATATCACAGACAACAATGTCAAAAGCCAGGTTTCTGATGTTGTGGAAGTCGCAAAAACAGTGTCAAAAGCCAGGATTGTAATGTTGTGGACACCACAGCCAGCAGTGTACATGTCAAAAGCTAGGTTTCTCATGTTGTTGATATCACAGACAACAGTTTCAAAAGCCAGGATTGTTATGATATCGTAATCACAGACAACAATACCAAAAGCAAGGAGTGCATTATTATGGAAATCACAGATACCAGCCATTATAATGCTTTGGATATTGCGGACAAAAATGTCAAAGGCCAAGATTACAATGTTCTGAACATCAAAGAAAACAGTGTCAAAAACCAGGATTGTAGTGTGGAAACCATGGAAAACAGTGTTAAATGCCAGGATTGTGATGTGGACATCAAAGACAAAAGTGTCATAACCCAGGATTGTGATCTTGTGGATATCAAAGACAACAGTTTTAAAAGCCAGGATTCAAATGTTGTGGATATCGCAGACAACAGTTTCAAAAGCCTGGATTGCAATGATTTTATCACCACAGACAACAGTACCAAAAGCAAGCAATGTTGTAAACATCGCAGATACTAGTGATTTTAATGCTTTGGAAATTGCAGACAAAAAGTTCAAAGGCCAAGATTTTAATGTTTTTGACATCACAGATAACAATGCCAAAAGCAACAATTGCAATGCCGTGGACACCACAGACACCAGTGTCAGAAGCCGGGTTTTTTATTGTTGTTAATACCACAGATAACAGTGTCAAAAGACAGGATTGTAGTGTGGAATCACACGGATTATTATGTTGTGGACATCAAAGACAAAAGCGCCATACCCCAGGATTGTAATCTTGTGGACATCACAGATACCAGTGTTAAAAGCCAGGTTTCTAATGCTGTGGATATCACAGACAACAGTTTCGAAAGCCTGGATTGTGATGGTTTTGTCACCACAGACAACAATACCAAAAACAAGGATTGCAATGTTGTGGGCATCACAAGTGACAGAGTCAAAAACCAAGATTGTAAGAAGATGGGTGAACAAGGCGTGCAGAATGCCTATAGCTTCAGATATTAAAAAAATCAAATTCAATTTGTGAATAAGTTTTTAAAGTAAAGTTCTCATTATTGAAATTTATGAAATTAAGTTCAACAAAACTTTTCTGAGAAAAAAAGATCTCGGAAAAAATTATTCTTTTATTAAAAAATAAATTGGTATTCGTGGGATTCGAACCCTAGCAATAAAAATCCTTATTATGTATTATATTGCTTTGAGACTAACACGCTAACCACTACGCTACACAGCTCATGATGAATAGTGGCATTTAAATCTTGTTTGTGATATGACCCTTGACTTAATGGACTTCAAGTATTTCTCGGAAAGATGCGAATGATTTGTCATAAAAGTGTACTTTTAAGGTATAGTGGGTCTTTGCTCCATGTTTTTGTAAAATAAAAAATGAATATTTTAATGCAAACTTTTAGGACTAATTTTCAAAAAAATGGAGCGAAGACCGACTCATATCGAAAAATTTTGTTAAAGTATGAGAAAATGGTCCTTTCTGTCCTCTTTAGTGTGTGTATGCTCTTTCATAGGCAAATAATTTCAGTATTTGTAAGATTTTTGTAAATTGTAGGGATTTTACATAAAATATACTTTAATATTAGATGAAATATCAAAGAAAATTTTAATATAATCGAGATTTTATTTTTCACTTCATGTTTGTCGCTCTATAGGCACTTCGCCCGTCTTGTTCACCCATCTTCTTTGTTGACACCACAGACTATAGCTTTAAAAACAAGAATTGTAACATCGTTTCCACCACAGACAACAGTGTTGAGTACCAGGATTGTAATGTTGTGGATATCACAGACAACAGAATAAAAAGGCAGGTTTTAATTCTTATAGATACCAGGGACAACATAAGGAACATCCAGGATTTTAATGTTGTGGACATCACAGACACCAGTTTCAGAAACCAAGATTTTAATGTTGTGGAAAGCACAGATAATAGCGTAAATTGCAAGGATTGCAATGTTGTGGCAACCGAGCACAATGGGGTCAAAAGCTAGAAATGTTATGTTGTTGACACAACTGACATCACTGTCAAAAGCCAGGATTGTAATATTGTGGAAACCATGGACAACAGTGTTAAAACTCATGTTTGTAAGGTTGTTGATATAATAGATTTTGATGTCAAAAGCCAGGATTGTAATGTTATGGATACCACAGACACCAGTGTCAGAAGCCAGGATTATAATGTTGTGGACACTACAGACACCGGCGTCGAAAGCCAAGCTTTTATAGTTGTTGATACCACAGATAACAGTGTCAAAAGCCCAGATTGTAAAGAGGAAAGCATAGACAATCATGTTAACAAGCATTCTGAGAGTATTGCATTAGCAATACTAGTCCCCTACAGGCAAGTGTAATCTGGTTCCGTTCCCGTTAAGAATTGAAAATGCCATAATTCCGTCAAAAATTAATGAAGCGGGACGAAATGCAAACTTGATCTGTAACTAATCAAGGTAAAGCCACATACCAAAAATCAGCTCAATATCTACAAGCTTTTAGAAGAAAATTGCGAAAAACCCGAAAAAATTGAAAAGGCCGTAATTCCGTCAAAAATCAATGAAGCGGAACGAAATGCAAACTTGATCTGTAATTCATCAAGATACACTCACATACCAAAAATCAGCTCAATATCTGCAAGCGTTTAGGAAAAAAGTGCGGAAAACCAAGTGGGACAGACAGACAGACAGACAGACAGACGGACAGACAGACAGACAGACGGACGTACAGACTCAGAGGAAACCTATAGTCCCCTCCGGTTTCACCGGTAAGGGACTAAAAACAATGATTGCAATATCACAAACAGAAGTGATAAAAGCCAGGACTGTATTCATGTGGTTACCACCGACAACAGTTTTAAAAGCAAGGGTTTTAACATTGTTTACACTACAGACAATAGTGTCGAGTGCAATGTTGTGGATATCACAGACAAAAAAGCCAAAAACCAGTATTGTAATGTTGAAGACGGAGAACTATCAAAGGAAATCAGCCATGATTCTGCAAAGAAAATTCCTTTGTGTGTAAGTGAGAATTTTCTCATAGAACACACATTTATGACGAAAGAACTGGATTGGTCATTGGAAAAAATCATGCCCAGTATATTCCCTGTGTTCTGAAAGAAAAAATAAGAAACCAATGCAAAAGATTTTTGCAGCGATGACTAATATATACAAGATTCAAAATGTGATAGTACAGCTGCACACCGAAGTTTAAAAGGTGTGTAAATTAGTGGTAAATTAGTTGTTTGTACAAATTAATAGTAAATTAGTTGTTTTATTTGATTCCATATCATACATAACCTCTACAGCTAGGGAACAGTTGTAGAATTCCAAAGTCGATAAATACTCAGTAGAAGCAAGGGTGGACCAGCTTCCTCTGAATTCCCACTAAACATGTAAAAATAAGTTCCTACTAGTATTCATAAAACTAAAGATTTTGTCATTTCTTACTAAGGCCTTGTTAGGATCTATGAGAAAATCATAATTCTTTTCTTTTCATTTAGGAATATTCCTTGGAAGAATGGTATGGAGATTATTGATAGCAAGATTAGTTTTCTGTCTTCAGAGGTACGAGAATGAGGATTTGTGTATTGGCATTTAACGCTGATAATAGCAATATTTACTGAAATAAAAAAAAAAAAATGAAAAATTGTCTTAATTATCTACTTTATTTGGTAAATCAGCAAGTTTAATTTCTTTAATGTCTCAATCTTTTTTTCCCAAATAGTAGATAATTGACCTAGAAGAGCTTCAGTCAAGAACTAAGTCAAAAACTGATTTGATGAGCATTTCCAGCGAACCAGACGAAGATTCAACAGCATGCTCCTTTTGTGACCAATGATAGATCATTTTTCTGGCACATATTTCAGTGAGTACGTAACTGTTAAAAGTTGGCAAAATTTTACTTTTTTTAAAGACTGTGTGTCATATACATGTATTTCCAAAATTAATTTTTTTAATGAAATAAATTGATTTTTTTGGAAATTCATTTTCAGAAAAAAGAACACCAGTCTCATAAAGAAAAAACAGGAATTTTACGGAGAATACGGATGTTTTTCCGCAGACGTAAAGCAAGAAATTAAAAGGAATAATTTAAAGATATAATGGGAATATATTATTTGATAAATGATAAATCGTATCGATTTGTTTTGATGTGTTTTACGGGTTTTCTCCAAGTATTTTTGTCTGTGAATTTTGTAATATTGTTACATCAAGAGCAAAATTATGAGCTTTGAAAAAATAACTGGACAAATAGTAAATAAAATGCTCTACTCATGTGAGTAGGCTACTGTTACTTTGCGGTACGGAACGAACCAGTTGAGGGGTACCCTTTTGGGAGGGGGAATTAAAACGAAAATAAAAAATGTTACTTTATTATATTGAAACTTGTCTAATCCGGACACCACTGGTTCCAAAGAAATTGGCCGGATTAGACAACATTATAAACAACTGAATTTATTGAAAGGAACTTAAGTTTTACACCGTATTAGGCAAGATTTCGGAATACACAACATCGAGATTAGACAAGTTTCACTTATACAATATATTCGGTTATCTAATAGCATAAAGTACTCCACAATGAGAATATCGTACAATAAAATGTCTAAAAGTTCAAGTTTAAAAATAATATAATTACTTCCCCTGAATATTATCTCCTTTATTACTTTGTCAGGTGAGGGTCTAAATTACGTTAATTATTTCTAGGGTGAAAAGATGATGATAAAATCGCAAGAAAAATTTTTTAATGTAAAAAAAAGTTAAGTATAAAATTCAATTAAGTCTTATAGGAAGTTTGGAGTGATTATCAATATCAAATCAAATGTAGATAGATTTCAAGAATTCAATATTATGTACATGTTCCCAAACATTCACACCTGTATGAAATCCATATAGATCATATTGTGTGTCTGGCAAATTTTTGCGTCGCGGAGAATTAATTATATTTTTAAAACAGCTGCTTTTTCCGGTATTACCTCAGTTAAACTATATAAATTATACTTGATAGGTAAATGATTTAACATATTGTTTGTCCCTCCCAGGTAAGTACCATACATGTACATTAGCTTTACATGCAGCGTATATAGCTTTGCATATACATGTAGTTTAATTTTTGCTTTGAAATTTAGAATTGTCGGTTCGTTTAGAATATTTCCAGACTCTCATAATTATAAAAACGAGGGAAGCATTTTGTCACTTATGTAAATTTATGTACTAATAAGCATCAAATCGGCCGCAAAAAATGTATTTAGCATTTTAAAGTATTTCAACGAGAAAGAGTCCAAAGAAAAAAATCATAGTAGAAAAAGTATATAATACATTTGTATTGCTAACTGTACACTTGCGCTACATTTCTGTGCATTTTTTTTATACTTTAATTCTCAATTATTGTTTGTTAAATATTAATTAAAATGAATTAATTCAGGCTTGCAGTACCGTTTCTGAAAGTGAGGTAGGTTCCAACTTCCTTTCAAAATCCCTTTTTATTAATACCCTACCAAATTACCACGATTTAACTATGCTACAACAAAAGTGGGGGGAACAGTCTTTCAATGAACAATTTCAATAGTAAGAGGTTATGTTTGGTAAAAAGGGTGGAGACGAGTCCCTCCCCCCGATACTACGTGCTACGACTGAAAATCGGGGAGAGAAATTCGGACTGCGCGCGATAAAGGCTATAGGAATGTTTCATCATTAAATCATTTGATTCAAAGACAAATGCAACAAATACATGTACAGTGTATCTAAAATTATTAATTATGTAATTATGAATGTCTGAATGCTGACAAAAAGGACGTACAAACTTCGCGTGCTGATACTCTGGAACCTTGTCACGTGATTATGCCAATGATGCAGTAAAAATCATTGTGTCGTTTGCAACTGTAGTGTATTCAAAACAAAATTCACTCCTTAAAATTTTTACAATTTATTAATTATCTTATGCACTGCAATTTATATCTGGAAACTTAATACGTTTTGTTTTTATATCAAATGGACGCCTATTTTGAGGAGCAGTCCATGTAACAACTTTTTGTAAAATCAGAAATTAAGAAATACATGTATCTGATGAAACCACTTCTAAGACTTAATAATAAGCAAACTTTAAAAAATTTATTCATAACTTTAATGATTTGTTTTCAATAAGGAACTACTCCATCGAAGCAAAGAAAAAATAACGTCTATTTCCCCATATGCACATTCTAACACAACCACAAATAGATCGGCCACTCCGGCCAATAATAAAAGAGTGTATGATATAGGGTTATTGAATTTATTTATTTTGAACTATGAATTGACATGGCAATAAATAAAACAATACATTTTCGATGACCAAAGTGCATATGTTGTCAAAAATACTACACAAATCCGCACCAATTAATCGAGCTTGGAAATAAACAATGAAAATGAAGAAAAATTGCACGGATTTATTTTTGTTCATGTTCTCGAATCCCGATTTGAGTCAATACTTGGACTTTTCTACGAGTACATATTGTCTTCACACAAATTTTTATTAAAACTATAAAATTTGGTCAAATTTTATATCTTTATAAAAATACATGTATGCATGTGGAAGACAATAGATATATAATATCAAAAGATTTCAAAAGTCATTATCTACAGGCGCGTATCCAGAAATATTTTCCAGGGGGTCCATCCCTGTCAAAAAAAAAGAAGGAAAAATCCATTTCAAAAACGTGAAAAATACCTATTTCGTGGTGGTGATGGTGGGGTCCATGTTTTTTATAGGGAGGGTCCAAAGTCATTTTTTATTTGCTTCAGTATATACTTTTGATAACCCCCGAACCCCCTCTAGATCCGAGCATGATCTATAATATTTTTGTCATATATTTCCATATTAATTTTCACAGGATGAGCAGTGCTTTGGTGACCTCTATTTTGCTGCTGCAGGTAGGATACACCCTGTCTCAGTCATGTTCCACAACAAGCTGCTCTTGTGAATTTGTGCCTACATCAACTAAACGAATAATCAGATGTCTCAATCTCAATGCAATGCCAAATTTTGTCCCATCCACGGAGCTATTCCTAAAACTGGATCTTAATTCTCCCACTAATAGGATACAAGTTGTTCATGCCAATGCATTCCAAGGAATTCGTGTTGAAGAAATTGATATGAGAGGTGAAAACATTCGATTACAAAGCATTCATCCATTGGCCTTTTCTGGATTGCAACAAGATGTGAAAACCATCAGGCTGCGGGGAGATTCAGTATTGCCACCCCCATTCACCCAAATGCAAGACTTGACCAACCTCCAGGAACTTCAGCTGGAATATTTCAATATGCCAAGAATTGAAAGAAGCTCTCCGTTTTATTATTTTCCTAATCTGCTCACACTGCGATTGCGAAGGATGCAGACAACTTTTGTGTCTGCTGAATCCTTTACGAATCAGTTACAAATGTTAAAACGCTTTGAATTTGAAAACAATAATGTCCCAACTTTTCCACATTCTGCAATTAATAGACTACGCACCTTGGAACATCTCTCATGGATGAGTAATGGCATGAAAAGCATCCCATTTCGAGCATTTATCGCTCTTAGCAATCTTACTGAATTGGACTTGAGAGGAAACCAGATTGGCTCTTTAGATTATGAATGTTTTAATGGAATTACAGAAAAACTGGAATATTTGAGTCTCCCCTTGAATAACCTAAACGAATACAACATTCTGCCATTAGGTAATTATTCATGGCCTAAACTAGAACAGCTTAACCTAGGTCAAATGCAAAGAGAATTTCGAGATATACCCTCTGGATTATTCAAAAACATGCCAAAACTGACTCACCTAATGATGCCAGGCAATAAGTTAAGACAGATAAAAAACAATGATTTTGAAGGTCTTAGAAGTATGTACTCTCTGGACTTGTCTGAAAATTATATAAACACTATTCAGAAAGGTGCATTTGCTCATATGCCACTTCTTGACACTCTTGATTTACGAGATCAATATGATTTAAGTGCCAGCAACCCTCTTAACTTCAGCTTGGACATCTTCCAGGGGACAGAACTTGCTTTGAAGACTCTTTATATACAGGATAACCATCTGTTAGAACAACCTGCTTGGGACGCTATTGGAGCCATGAAGAATTTAATAAACCTTGACATTTCAAAAACAAATATGTCCAATATTCCAGCTTTAATTTTCTACAGCCATAACCAACTGGGAAGCCTTAAAATGCAAAATAACAATCTCCCAGTGCTGAGACAGGAGTCTCTATATGGACTCAAAGCTTCTCTGGAAAGCATAGACATTTCTTTCAATCAAATCAATGTAATAGATGAATGTGTATTTGAAGGATTTAGCAAACTGAAGTTTGTTTTGGCAATAGGAAATCGCCTTGCCTGTAATTGCAATCTCTATAGTTTGTACCAGCTTCTCAGAACAATTAATTCAAATGGAGGATATACACAAGTACCTTGTAGTTTTCCATCCGATTTAGCAAACAGACAGCTGTCTACATTACAGACGTATGAATTCTGCAACAGTGTGCCTACAGCTGCTACATGTCTGGAGTTTACAACCACGACAGTTCCCCCCAGTATCACAACTATAACAACTGCTGCCATCCCTCTACCTGAGGTTCAGTTTGGAATTTCATTTGTGAACAAGACCACAATAGTAATCTCCTGGGCTGTTAATGGGGCTTTGACATACGTAAAAAAATTCTGGGTGCGGTATAATCGGCTAGGAGTGAATGACCCAGTTATCAGAATTTTTCCAGTACACAAATCCGAACGGAATCATGCAATAACTGGACTCTCACCAGGATCATATTATCAGATATGTTTCTTTATTGAACTTGCTGGTTCTACACAACAGCTGATAGGATGTCAGATCGAACAGACAAAACCTGGAGTACCTTCAGTGATAACAACAGCAGCTAACATTGGTTTATAGATGACAATACTGGTACACATATCTCCGGCCAATATTAACATACTGACAATATGCCAAGCCCTATTCTTTAAAACGCTTCACTAGAAGCGTCTAAACTTGATTTGTTGCTATTGGTGATGGCTTTGACTCAAGTCATGCCTGAAAGGTCAAGGACAATGCACTGAAGAAATTCAGCTTAATTTTTGTCGATTAAATATTCAATCCTTCATACTAGTATTCTTTT